GGACTGGAAATAATTTGGTATGTAAATATGTTCTTCATGATATCCAAGCTATTACTTCCTCGGGCAATGCAGCAGTCCCATCACAATTCCCATACCCAGGTGCACCCATAGCCACCTCTCTTCTCTCAGTGTGAGGAGGGAGGGGTCTGATCACTCCAGCTCAAACTTCTCAACAGTTGCAGGCCTACGAGTATGATCTCTCAACTGTTTAGATTGAATAAACCCTCCCCAGCATGACCCTACTTGTGTGCTCCAGAAGTGGAAATACAGACCATGCCAGACTGCTGCTTCTCTGAACTCTGAAAAGACATTTTTTGCCATTTAGCTCATGCTGTTATCATTCATTCCTAGCTGGCCTGTCCCAGAGGCATGCTGCTGACAGCAGCTGCTTGCTGTCTGAGCATCGTGCCTCTGGTCTGCGGCCTTCTTATCACTGCCTCTCGGATCCACAGCAACAACGAAGGGCCTCGTTAATGCCCCTGTTCCCCCCAGCAGACAGAAAAGCAGAGGGTCTGCGGCTCAGGAATGCACATTGCATTTCAACCTTTTTTCCTCAGTGGATAATTTTTAATCGGACTAAAAACTTACAAATTCATGACAGCATGCATATCTTGAGGGCGGCATAGCTAGCTATGGCTCCTTAAGATTGTTAACCTAGCAATTATCCTGCCAGCTATAGTTGTAGAATCCATTTCTACTCACATATGTAATCCGTCATTTAATCATCTCATTTGCTCCATTAAGATTTGAGGTAATGAGTCCAAAAAATTATTTTTAAGTGTTTTCTTACATCTGAATTTTGATACAATCCTTTATCCATCAGTGGTGCAATCAAATTGTTTCATTCTACAACAACAACAAAAAAATCAGTTTCCTAAATACAAACATAAGCAGCTACATATTCCATTCTGCTGCTTAGTGGAAGCAAATTTTCCTCAAGGATGTCCTAGTGACGTTTTCTGACACCTAACACTTTGTAAGGGTGAGCTTTTTGTTTGGAGGGGTTTGGGTTTTAACTGACTTGCAGGGAATGCAGAGCTCATTCAGTACATGTAGACTGGGACAGCAATATTTCATAATCAAAAGTTAATTTGCAGGACAGGAATTGCTATATAAATTAAATTTATTTCAGCTTCATTCCCCTGAGGCAACAGTTTTAGTCACTACCACCACCTGCTTTCCTGGTGGAGCTGCACAAGATTATTTCCACCCGGCAACTACCAGGAGAAAATTAAAGAAAGACGCACAAAAATGAAGAATGTAACAGTGCCCATCCCTGTAGTATTTACTGTAAATATGGACTGCCAAATCCTGGATGCTTGGATTAAAAAAAAAAATAGAGAATGAAAACTGAAGTATTATATTTAAACTCTCCATTTAGTGGAAAAAAGAATACCTTTCCCAGAAAAACGTAGCAGAATTTTCTGTTGTTTTACAAGCTCCATTTCACCGCTTTCTAAGGAAAGGAATTATTTTTCCAGCTAAATAGCCTGTCCCCTTCTCCACGCCCTCTCCAAACTCATGGCTGAGTTTTCATGCTACCAGCCTCTGAGCAGCAGCACAGGACTCTTGCAGCCTCCTCAGCTATTCAGATCTTGTGCATAATTCAGGCAATCCCCAAAACTAATACACAGCGTGCAGCAGCCCATCCCTGCCGCACCCCTCTCGCGCCAGCATCTTCTCCTTCCACCATGCCAAAGCTGGTGAGACTTGTCCAAGGTCACCCTGTGCCAAGGAACTCCAGTCTTGATGGACACACAGCTCCTTGGCTGTCTAACGTCCTACCCTTTTAGCATGGTGTAAAGAAAGGTTGCAAGGGTGTAAGGTTGTTGTTTTAAAGTTCTCCACAATTAGTAATGGACAAATAGCAGTAGGACAAGAACAGTATAGGGTATTTGAAGGGTTATAAGCCTTACAAGAAACGCAATGAAGAGAAAACAGCAAACGGAGATAAGCTGGGACTTAATTTTATGTACAAGTTGGATTGTAGTGTTTTTGGGACACATACCATGCACACTACTAGTTTTGAAGCTTCAGCCCTCACCAGAAACATAGCCCATGCTCTGCTCCTTCCAGCCAGCCCTTGGCAACCTGCTTCCCTGCATCCATAACCCCTCTCTTCCCAGCCTCTGTGGCGTAACTCGTTGGTAATAAAAACATTTCTGGAATCAAAATGCTTTGCAGGCCAAAAAGCTGAGCTCAATCAACACAGAGGAAAAGCAAACCACGGAGAGCTATTGTTTCTGAAAACCATCCAAAAACTCTTGGCGCTTCAAGACATTCCCAATGTCCTTTGCAATATTTCCAGGAAAAATTATTCCCAAGGCCTTGCGTATTAAAAAAAAAAGTCTGGCTTATATCAATAAACATGATAACTGCTGTATTTTTTCTGTTTAATCAGAGCACAGCTAGCATGTAGAAGCAATCAGAGCTGAGTCAAATAGCCTGGTTTAAGTGTAGCATTTCAAAACTGTCACGTTCTCCACTGAGGAGCATAAATTAACTCCTGGGACTCCTGAAACCAAGCATCTTTTTTGACTATGTTTATGTTATGCAAATTCTTGAAGAAAGGTCATGGGCAGATGTTGGTGGAAGAAGTGGTAGAAAAAGCAGAAGGGCAGTTTTTCAGACCCAATAAACTCATTCAACTTATCTGTGTGGTGGCAGAAGCACTGCCTGCGCCAGTGGTTAGGTTGCAAGCCTAGAAACAGGATGGCTGGTTCTGATCTCAAATCCTAACATGCTGACTTCCAACAAGTCATTCAAAGCTCAATGGGGCTGCAGAGGGAGGTTAAAGGATTTAGAGGAGATGAGGGGCCCATCTACTTTCTTTATCCCCTACCTGATACAGGAAATCCAATTTACAATTAAATTGTAAATGAAGTTAAACTCAAAGACATATAATACGTGGCCCAGGACAGACGAAACTTCAGGCAATATCATGGGTAAGAACATTGAATCAGTAACAAACCATTGGCAATCACCACTGAATTACTCTCATATATTGTTTTTGCTAGCTGTGCAATATGAGTTTCACTTACAATCCAATACATCCAAGCAAGAATTTGCAGGCATCCCTTCTTCAGGACAACAGAATATATTTTGGCTCATTTCATCTACTCAGAGAGCTGAAAAACCCTGCTATTCTCTGGATTATAAGCTGTTCTTGCAGTGTTATATAGCCAAAAAAAAAAGCTTTGAATGTCTCTGTTCTTGCTATCTGCAGGGTCTCAGGTGGGTGGCTTTGGGATGAAGAACTTACAAATGAAAACTCAGATATCAGGTGTACTTTAAGATTTTACAGCTAAAAAAGTCTTTAAGATGTGCGCTTGCAGCCCAGAAAGCCAACCTTATCCTGGGCTGCATCAGGAGAAACGTAGACAACAGGGAAAGGGAGGGGATTCTGCCCCTTTACTCCACTCTCGTGAGACCCCACCTGGAGCCCTGCATCCAGCTCTGGAGCCCCCAACATAAGAAGGACAGGGATGTGTTGGAGTGGGTCCACAGGAGGCCATGGAGATGATCAGAGGGCTGGAGTACCTCTCCTATGAGGACAGGCTGAGGGAGTTGGGGCTGTTCAGCCTGGAGAAGAGCA